TGGGGGGGGGGGGGGGAGAAAGGGAGGGGGACTTGAACCCTTGATCTCAAGAAGTCAAAGCCTTGACAAGGTAAGAAGTACCATTTGACCAAAGGTCCGTTGGTACAAATCGTACTAATCCGAACAACTATCTTGTGTTAGATTGTGATCATGATACTAATCGTTTCAAAAGGCTGTTTGTTTCCTTTAAAAGTTTTATTCATGGGTTTAGTTATTGTCGTCCACTACTTTTTTTAGATGACACATTTTTAAAAGGCAGATACAAAGGTAATCTTCTATCGACAATAGGAAAAGATGGCAACCAAGGTATAGTTTAATAAAAAATTTTAAATGATAAAATTTGTGGTTAAGTTGTAGTCGTTATATTATATTGTCTTTGTTACACTCTGTTTGTTATATTATTACACTTTCATTGTTACACTATGAGATTAACACAGTTAATAGTGAATATATACACATGGTGTATTTTAATACAATTTGGATTATTAACATTCACCACACAACAATGTTTTAGAATTACCATTCACCATATTCATCTGTTACACTATTTTTTATTTTAATTTTTTACGAATATTTATGTGCTTCATTTTTCAAGTTTGTTTCCTTTGGCATTTGCTGTGGTTAATTCGGAGAATGAAACAAACTGGTTTTGATTTTTGAAACAGTTGTCTAATATATTGGATCAGTCTCAGGTTATTACGTTTGTATCTAATCACAACTTTGGTCTGTTAGAGGCAATGCCAAATTTTTTTTCAAATGCTCATCATGTATTTTGCTTACAACATTTGGAAGCTAAGTTGCGGGATAATTGAATGGTGCTCGTTTTTTCAATTTATTCTGAGAACACATGGTGAGATTATTACGTGAATATGCTTATACACTAACACAGTCGTTTTTTAATGAGAAGATTGAAACTTTTTGTCGTAAATGTAGTTCTAATGTGGACAAGTTAGTGTCCAATCTTCCATATGAACATTGAACAAATGCACATTTTACAGGGAAGCATTACGGTGAGATGTGTTCTAATGCTATAGAATCGTTTAATGCATGAATTTTGAAAGCTCGGCATTTATCTATTACTAGCATAGTTGACAAAATTAGGGGATAGATGATGGATCAAATTGGCCAAAGGATGAAAATAACTTTGGAGTGGAATGAGAATTTATGCCCTAATATGTCTTCAAAATTACAAGTTGCATTTGATGAGGGGAGGTCATGGAATATGCGGGTTTCAAATAACCAAGTGCATAAAGTGATGTCATATTTTTCGGTCACTATTGATATTGTGAATGCCACGTGTTCATGTTGTCAGTGGCAAATAAATAGGTTCCCTTTTTCACATGCAGTGTCGACAATACGAAAGAATGGACGAAATATCAACAAATTTGTTGATTATTACTATCAAGTCAGCATATACAACATATATTCTAAACTCATTTATCCAACACCGACTATATATTGTGATGAAAGTTCACATGTAGATGTTAATATTTTGTCACCATCTACCAAGAAGCAACTTGGTAGACCAAAGAATCGTAGAATTTAGTCAAGGGAAGATCTCATTAGGCGAATTCATTGTGGCCAGTGTGGACATTTGGGCAGTTACAACAAAAAATCTTGTAATGAGCCGTTATAGACTTGTTTAATACTATCATTTAATGACATTGTTCATTGTTTTAAGTTTTTTACAATGTGTTTTTTCACTCCTTTGTTAGGTTTGTTTGTTTTAGCTAATTTTTCACATTGTAAGTTATATGTTTTTTTTTTTGGTCTGACATTTGATGGATTAGTCTATATGCAAC